CTACGGGCGGGAGGAACCCGAAGGAGGCTACGCTGAAGGGCGGAGTCTCCTTTATACGGAAAGGGCTATTTGCCGAGCCTAAATGAATGCCCAGAACCCGTTTATACGGGTTCAAATGACTGTTCGGTTCAATTTTTTGCCGAGCCTAATGGCTCTTCGGGAATGCCCCCAGAACCCGTTAAAAAGGCCTTTGTGGCACATGAATGCCCACCCCTCACCCTCGGGGGGGTGACTGAATATCGTCAGTCGCTCACTCTGACTGTTCTGAGCCTGACTGAAGGGCGGAGTTAAACGGGTTCTCTTCCTTGGCCGAGCCTAATGGCTGGGAATGCCCACGAAAAAGGCCTTTGAAGGAGGCTACGTCGTTCAACTCTGAACTGGTTCGGAGTCTCTTCCTTCGGGAGGAAGGAGGCTACGCCGAAGGGCGGAGCCCTGAACCCGTTTATACGGGTTCAAATGGGCTATTTTTTGGCCGAGCCTAATGGCTTGGGAATTGCCCACGTTAAAAAGGCCTTTGTGCCACATGACACCCTCGTGGGGGGTGATTGAATATCGTCAGTCGTTCACTTTCTGAGCGACTGTTCGGTTAAACTCTCTTCCTACAGGCGGGAACCCGAAGGGCTACGCTGAAGGGCCCTTCGAAGGAGGCCTTGAACCCGTTTATACGGGTTCAAATGGGCTATTTTTTTGCGAGCCGGCTTGGGAATGGGGCGGAGACACCCTCGTCATCTTCGTTCAACTCTGAACTGACTGTTCGGTTCAACTCTCTTCCTACGGGAGGGAGGAACCTGAAGGAGGCTAAAGGGCGGAGTCTCTTCGGGAGGTAAAATCGGCCCAGAACCCGTTTATACGGGTTCAAATGGGCTATTTTTTGGCCGAGCCTAATGGCTCGGGAATGCCCACGTTAAAAAGGCCTTGTGCCACATGACACCCCTCGTGGGGGGGTGACTGAATATCATCGTCGTCGCTCACTTTCTGAGCGACTGTTCGGTTAAACTCTCTTCCTTTATACGGGTTCAAATGGGCTATTTTTTGGGAGGAACCCGAAGGAGGCTAACGCCGAAGGGCGGAGTCAACTCTTCGGGGAGGAGGGAGGCTAAGCGCTGAAGGAGGCTGGCCCAGAACCCGTTTATACGGGTTCAAATGGGCTATTTTTTTTGGCCGAGCGGCTTGGGAATGCCCACGTTAAAAAGGCCTTGTGCCACATGACACTCCTTCATCAGTCGTTCACCTCTGAACTGACTGTTCGGTTCAACTCTTCCTACGGGTGGAGGAACCTGAAGGAGGCTACGCCGAAGGGCGGAGTCTCTTTCAGGTAAATCGCCCAGAACCCGTTTATACGGGTTCGGCCCGAGCCTAATGGCTTGGGAGAAAAAGGCCCCCCCGTTTATCATCGGGAACTGACTTCAAAACCCGAAGGAGGCTACGCCGAAGGGCGGGCGGAGTAGGTTTTGTTTATACGCCGAGCCTAATGGCCCGGGAATGCCCACGTTAAAAAGGCCTTGTGCCACATGACACCCTCGTGGGGGGTGACTGAATATCGTCAGTCGTTCACTTTTGAACAGACTGCTCGGTTTCAACTCTCTTCCTACGGGCGGGAGGAACCTGAAAGAGGCTACGCCGAAGGGCGGAGTCTCCTTCGAAGGCCTTTGTGCCAGGGGGGGGTGAAATATCCGGCCCAGAACCCGTTTATACGGGTTCAAATGGGCGGAGTCTATTTTATGGGTTCCGAGCCTAATGGCTCGGGAAATGCCCACGTTAAAAAGGCCTTGTGCCACATGACCCCCTGGTGGGGACTGGGTGACTGAATATCACGTCAGTCGCTCAAGGAGGCTTTTGAGCCGACAGTTTATACGGGTTTGAACTCTCTTCCCACATACGGGCGGGAGGAACCCGACTGGGTTAAACTAGGGCTACGCCGAAGGACGGAAGGGTGGAGTCTCCTTCGGGAGTTAAAAGGCCTTGGCCCTGACACCCCGTTTATATTATCAGTCGTTCACCTCTGAACTGGTTCAACTCCTTCCTAAATGGGATGCTACGCCGAAGGGCGGAGTCTCCGGGAGGTAAATGGCCCTAATGGGGTTCAAATTATTTTTTGGCCGATGGCTCCCGTTAAAAAGGCCTTTGTGCCACATGACACCCTCGTGGGGTGATCGAATATCGTCAGTCGTTCACCTGAACACTGCACGGTTAAACTCGTGGGGCGGAGTCTGAGGTAAAACGGCCCTGAACCCGTTTATACGGGTTCAAATGGGTTCGCTCAGCCCAATGGCTCTGTTAAAAGCGAGTGTTCGGTTCAATTCGTCTTCCTACGGACGGAGCGGGAGCCGAAGGGTCGGTTTAACTCTCTGAGGAACCCGAAGGAGGCTACGCCGAAGGGCAGAGTGGGAGGTAAAATTGGCCCAGAACCCGTTTAGGCGGGTTCAAACGGGGCTCGGGAATGCCCACGTTAAAAGGCATATTTGACTGGGTCGTTCCGAGACACACGGGCTCGGAAAGTCCCAATAAATAACCCAGACCTTGTGTCACAATGCCCACGTTATTGCCCCAGAACAGACTGGGTGGGGGGGAGAACCTGAAGGAGGCTACGCTGGGCGGAATATCGTCCGTCGCTCAAGTCTTGAGCGACAGATCGGACACCCTCGAAAAATATTGTCTCGCCCTCGGGCAGAGCGAAGAACCCGAAGGGAGCCGAGGCTACGCCGAAAGAAACGGATTCTTAGGCTTTTTTGGGGAGGAGCACACGGGCTCGGAAAACCCACGCTGAATCCCCAGTTTATACGGGTTAAAAGGGTCTTGAGCGACAGATTTTTGAACCGCCCTCGCCCAAGGAGGCTCGGAAAGATCCCTGACGCTGAATCCGTTTAAAAGGCCTTGTTTTAGCCGAGCCCACGCCCTCCCACGTGGGTGCCACATGACGCCCTCGTGGGGTGGGTGACTGAATATCGTCAGTAGTTCAAGTCGAGTCAAGAGTCGAGTCAGAGGCAGTCCGAAACAGAGTCGCGTTCAGACAATTACTGCAAGATATTGGAATAGTGATACTGGTCGAGACTACATTGTTCTCTCTACTAAACCTGATTGTTCATACTAACACTTCTACTTCTCTGTATATATTCCTGTTTGTAATATATCTGTTATTCCATACTTGTGTTCGAGTTCTTCTTTATTGGTTCTACCTTGGACTATCACCGTGGTACAAGGAACCGGACCATAACAAAGAGTATCTTTACTGATTTCCCTACTAGAACGGAATTCCTATTCAGTGATATGCGCATAACTCCGTCCATGTTTTCTAATATAATCGCCAAGATTTGCGGATTTGACTGTATCCTTGCAATTGTCTTAAGGAAATCTGTTCTTGAACTATCTCCTGTTCACGCTACACTCTAAAATAAATACCTCGCCGCGTCTTGCTTTCCAGCTTTTTGGAAATCCCCTTCTGTAGTTCTAGTCTTTAAGAACTCTAGTTAACCTTCTGTCTCATGGAATTATTGTTCTATTAGTCATTTAGCACTATTTCAAAAATTACGAGAGGTTCTAATCAACCTCGAATTGCTTTAGCAGCTCGCTTCACAAATCTATAGAAATAGGAGATAAAGCGGTGGCAGACTGGTTCACAAACATTAGACTAGGTTTATTATCTTTTGGTTCGACCATTTATATATGTTGGGCAATGGTGCATTATGGGTAGTAAGATCTATCATATTACCCTCACGTTTTGGAAGTGGGCGGTAATTGTTATGTTTCAAATCATTCTAGAGGCTATTGAGTAGAAATTATTGTGGATTCGAATGCGGTTAGATATTTTATAGTGTCGCACGTTAAATGTTTATTCATTGTTTATTATTGATTACTTAATTATTTTTTTTAAGCATTCAACCCCAAGCAAGGCGGGAAGCCACTAGCACTCAAAGGGTTTCAGAGTTGGAGCGAAAACAAAGAGGAGTGATAGAGGAAAGGATGAAGAGAAGGTTAGGGGATAGATCAGGGCATCTGGAGACGTCGATTGACATTAAATTTGAATAGTTGGAGATTATAGCTGTCAAGCAAACAAGAAATGGGGAGGGAGTTCCACAGGCGAGAGGTGCGAGACATGAAGCTATTGGAGTAGAAGAGACGGCTACATTTAACAGTTTCGACAGTGAAAGGGTGAGAGCGAGATGCCAGCCTCGTAGAACGCTTAAATTCATGAAGTCTGGGAACCAGCGAAAACAGCTCATCGGAGCAGTTACCGTGAAAGTATTTGTAAAAAAGACAGAGGGATGCGATGGTATTTCAGTGAAAGAGCGACTGCAGACGAGATGCCAGGTCAGGGCCAATTATATTGCATATCCGTCTCAGGATTTTATCAAGGACCTTGAGACAATTAGAAGGGGCTCCAGTCCATATATGGCAGCAATACTCCATGCAAGGGCGAATGGTTGATTTGTAGATTTGAAGGATCGACTCCGGTAAGATGTGTTTATGTGTTTCATTATTTATAGATATTTTATAGTGTTGTTAAATGTTTAATTATTCTTAATGATTTGTTACTTTATTTATTATTGTTTATTATTATATTTGTGGGTTTCTTCTTTCCGCGGTTGGTTATTTTATTTGTTTAATTTAAAGAGTTGTCATTGCCTAAATTATGTCACATTATCTGCGCTGTAATATAATTCATATATTTGCATTTTTCATTGGGGTATTTTACAAGGTGTCTGGTTTTACTTTTCGGTTATTAAATAATGGATTAAAAATTGGTTTTCGTGTCTGTGTTTTGAGATAAGTTCAGATCGTTTATTCAGTAATTTCGGTTGTTTTGGGGAGGGCTATTTCCTCCTCCTGACCAAAATTTTCATTTTATGTGCCATGTCCTTTCATAGGCGAACATGGCGATCCACCTCCCTCTATTCCTTGCACCTCTCAGCAATTACGGTTCTCTTTTATCTATCTATCTATCTATCTATCTATCTATCTATCTAAAATTATCCGTTATCTATCTAGGTAGCTAGCTATATATGATTCTCTATCTATCTATCTATCTATCTATCTGTCAGTATGTTCATATCTATCTATCTATCTATCTATCTATCTATCTATCTATCTATCTATCTGAGATTATCTGTTATCTATCTAGGTAGCTAGCTATATATGATTCTCCATTATCTATCTATCTGTCAGTATGTTCATATCTATCTATCTATCTATCTATCTATCTATCTATCTATCTCGGTCTGTTCATATCTATCTATCTAGCTAACTAGCTGACTGTCAAAGTCTATTCATATCTATGTATATATCTATCTCAGTGTGTTAATATCTATCTATCTATCTATCTGTCAGTATGTTCAGATCTATCTATGTCAGTCTGCATATATCTATCAATCTATCTATGATTGTGTATATATATATGTACGATTATACGCTATAGCTAGCTATATATGATACATTATCTATTTAAGTCTGTTCATATCTATCTATCTATCTATCTATCTATCTATCTATCTATATATATATATATATATATATATATATATATATATGTATGTATGTATGTATGTATGTATAGATAGATAGATAGATAGATCTTTCGGCGTATGAATGTAGAGCAACTCAGTTCTGAGAACCGATCGGCCAGTCTACCCGCACATAAGATTTGGTAATAGTGGTGAAGGCACTTATAATTTTATACTTATATAAAAAAAAGAAAAATTATGTAATTGAAGAAGGTAGATCCAATGTCGAAATATCGTTAAGCATTGTTAAACGCTGTCTTTTCTTTTTTGGTTCTTAAATCATGCTCTTTTCCAAGTGTTGTAATAATAATATTAATAATAATAATAATAATAATAATAGCAACAAGAATATAAACATCCTCTAGGACATCTATCTCAGCCAATTCATATTTATCAATCTACGTCTGTACATATCTATCTATCTAAGATTATCCATTATCTATCTAACTAGTTAGCTAGCCAGATATCTATATCTATATGATTCTCCATTATCTATCTATCTCAGTCTGTTTTTATTCTATCTATCTATCTATCTATCTATCTATCTATCTATCTATCTATCTATCTATCTATCTATCTATCTCACTCAGTTTTTATTCTATCTATCTATTCATCTATCTATCTATCTATCTATCTATCTATCTATATCACTCAGTTTTTATTCTATCTATCTATCTATCTATCTATCTATCTATATCAGTCTGTTTTTATTCTATCTATCTATCTATCTATCTATCTGTGTCATCTGTTCATCTCTATCTATCTATCTATCTATCTCATCTATCTGTGTCAGTCTGTTCATATCTATCTATCTATCTATCTATCTATCTATCTATCTATCTAAGATTCTCCGTTATCTATCTATACGCGAAAGTAAGAAGAATAACCCAATATTTTTATAAAGAAGCCATTAAGGCTCATTTCAAGCGACCAACGGATATAAATGCCCGTTATAAAAACATGACGCCTCCTTCCGTTTTATCTTGTAATGAGATTTGTATTGATTCTCAGTAGCCAAAAGATACAGTCAACGCCACCCTCTGTTCTCCGAGAATATCTACACGCCGTTGTGGTTTGTTCAACCACCCCCCACCCCCAACCCAGAGGAACTGACCATTTTCTCACTGCTATTTTACTTCTTGATTTATCGACCACGAAGTTGTTGGCGTTCGGCAACCAAAGTGTTATTTCACAGGCCAACGGAATTAAGTTCAGAAAACAAAACAAACGCATAATATTGTGGTATAATTATAATGTACATATATTATGGTGTAGCCCTTGTGAAACAATACTCTCAATACATAAGTCGTTAATCATAATTACGAGTTCAAGAAAGCAGTTTTAATTAAAAGAGGAAGTAATTTCTTAAGACGAAGATGTATAGAAAGTGCTATAATTTCTGAGTCTTCTGCAGTAAATTCCCGTTCATACAACATATCGCCTTTCTTAACGAAACTACTGCCATTACAATTAATCAAAAAAGAAATTAATTCCTTGAGGCGATGTATAGAAAGTGCTATAATTTCTGAGTCTTCTCCGGTAAACTCCCGTCCATACAACATATTGCCTTTATTAACGAAACTACTGCCATTACAATTAATTAAAAAAGGAATTAATTCATTAAGGCGAAATTGTATAGAAAGTGCTATAATTTCTGAGTCTTCCGCAGTATATTCCTGTCCATACAGCATATCGCCTTTCTTAACGAAACTACTGCCAAAGCAATTAATTAAAAGAGGAATTCATTCCTTAAGGCGAAATTGTATAGAAAGTGCTATAATTTCTGAGTCTTCCGCTGTAAATTTCTGTCCATACAGCATATCGTCCATTTCTGTCCATACAGCATTAACTGACATTACAATTAATTAAAAGAGGGCGTAATTTCTTGAGGCGAAAGGATTGGGAAATTGGAGAGCCGAGTTCGAATTCCAGTCGTATCTATTACATTCACTTACGTGCTAATGCTATTAATCCTCTTCTTCTCCCTCCCGCTATGGCAGGACAAACTGCGTTCTTTCGTCTACGATGGCAACTGGTCTAGAAGTACAACTCAGAATTCAAAACCTGCAAAGGGTCGTTTAGGGACCTTGTGGCACGTAGTGCACCAGATCTTTGTATTTGGCCCTTCAAAAAATGCCATTGGCTCTGCACAAAGCTTTCACCACTATAATCAAATCATATGTGCTGGTGTGGCTGTCGGTTCCTAAGAACTGAGTTTCTTAATCCTCATACGTCCAATACGATGGGAGAGTCATCCTTTGACACACACACACACACACATAGTTATTATGAAAATCACATAAACCTCAATAACTCGAATTTGCTTTGAAAATGTTTTGTCAAATTTTAACGAGTAATTTAGCCCTCAAAACACAGCTTAAGTAAAATCTTTAATTAGTTTCAATGTTTTATTAAAGTTATTTGATTTATTTTAAAAACGATAATCTGAAGCTATTATACCGGTTAAAGTACTATTAGTTTAAGGCCTCTAAAATCTAATAAAAACTATTTTTTCCGATAATGTCGAAAACTGGGTAATGGAAAGGATTTGAAAAACAGAAAATAACAAAGATATTGAGTGGGGGAATTTCCACATTGGCGATATCAAAGGAGCTTCACGGAGATCATAGAACGATAAAGAGTGCTGTTAAAAATAAATTTAGAACTAAAAGCAAAAGAAAAGGCTTTAAGAATGTGTCCCCTCGAGGGGAATGTAAACCAAAGTGAGTTATAACGAAACAATAACTTTTGAGCAATCCTCAAATCTTTGAACAGGTAGAATTGAGGGAGTCAAGAAAGAAAAATCTGTAAATTAATTCGTAAATCGTGATCTGCCAAGAAATCTAGCCAAACTCCTCTCGATAAAATAAATATTTTAAAATGTCAAAATTGGGAAAAAAAAATATGAAACTTGACTTTTCTAAAGTAATTTTCACGAAAGGATCTGAAGCGGCACTCTATGGACCAGATGGATGAGCCAAAGAATGGATTTCATTCGATGCAAATGAGTCTGTGACTAAAAGGAAGCAACAAGGCGGCGGCAGTGTGATAATATGGGCTGGAATTGTCGACCAAACCATTATTAGATCATTCAAAATTGATTTAGGAGTTAAACTGAACTATTGCGATTCTATATATATATATATATATATATATATATATATATATATATATATATATATATATATATGATACAACGAGATATAATTTTGTATATATCAACAAACAGTATTTAGAAAAAAACTTGATCGCTAGTTCCGCCACAATGAATTTGCGTCCTGGCTCTTACAATATATCACCATTCTTGATAGATTTTATATATTGGCATTCAGGCTAGTAAATGATGTTAATACTTTTTATTATAAACAAAGCATCTACTTAAATATGTTTGTTTTGTTTCGTTTTACAGCACATCAACCTAAACGGGTTATTTAATGCCGATAAAATTTTTGTTGCTGGTAATAATTTTTTTCCTTCATAAATCTATTTTTGGTAATATTTTTTCTTGAAAAATATTATTGCTGGCAATATTTTTTTACGAAAAGTATTTATGGTATTAAAATCTATTTTTACACTTTCATAGTGTTTTGACTCCAGTTTAGGTATTAACTATTTGCCCATACCTAGGACCCTAACAGGTGCTACCACCACAGGTCAGGGTGGACCTGGGAACAACAGCAATTAAGAGGTGGTTTCACGCTCCTCAAAACCTTCTGATCAAAGGCCTTGCTGTTGGACGTAGTTTATCGTCTTACCCAGGACGCGGATGTAGTTTATACCCAGGACGACTTAAATATGTGTCTATATGAATAATAATTATTTATATATATATATATATATATATATATATATATATATATATATATATATATATCGTCTTACCCAGGACGCGGATGTAGTTTATACCCGGGACGACTTAAATATGTGTCTATATAATAACAATTATATATATATATATATATATATATATATATATATATATATATATATATTCAGACAGGTTTCGTTAAATAATTTAGATACGTTATGTCTACTTATTCTCGATAGGGTCCTTTCATATTCTCGAATAAACTTTTTTGTGTGGTTGTTAAAAGACGAGAGGAAAACACCAGGTTGGTTCATATTGCATTTATTTCGAGTACTTTCGAGATAGCATAATGTCGTCATCAGGGTATTGTTAAATGTAGATTAAGTATTTAGTGTTCATGGTTGTGAAGAACCAAAATTGTAGTGGTCATCCGAAGATTACCATTTTTATATGCGTAGATGCGTAGTCAAGAACGCTGTGTCATGGCTAGTTGACAGATGCCGTTTAAGTGGAAGTAACTAGGTATGCTGTAAAAAATTTTCCGGGCTTGGGAAGTTGCTAGATAAAGGAAAAACTATTAGTGGCAAGTGCTAAACATTTACAGACTATCTATTGTACACATTTTAAAATGTTTGTGGAGTATTCGTAATTAATTTCATTTTTTCATTTCAGAAAGGGATAATAAAAAAGATCCGATTGTAAACTGGGAAATTTTATAAAAAAAAGCAAAACCTTGCAACAATCATAGTAACATCTGCAACGTTTGTCAACAAGAAAAATTAGCTATAATAACATTTCCAGACCAGAAGAACCTTTTGAATGAGAGATCGGAAATTATGACCTGTTGTATACATACTAAAAAGTTCCTTTTTAGGTCATATGAAGTGGAATGAAAAAAGTATGTATAATTTAAACCCCCACCGATACATTTCCAATACACTTTCTTCCTCTACCTCCTCCTCCTGCACCCCCCCCCTTCCACCACACCTCACGTCGTGCACTTATTCATTTTTTTTTTAAATATAGCGTTCATATATTTTTTCTATTTTCTTAATAAAGCGCTAGGAAATCAATTGACCGAAATCGGCTGAAGATACTGAAAGGTTGAAACCAAAATGGTGGAATCAACTGATCTTCAAATTTTATATACTTAAAAGCTCTACATGTTAGATATTTACATTTTTATATGTGTATGGAGCACTTTTTGATACAACTGTTTCCTAGTCTCATTCAACAGTAACCATTACCTTTTTTATATTATATATATATATATATATATATATATATATATATATATATATATATGTGTGTGTGTGTGTGTGTGTGTGTGTGTGTGTGTGTGTGTGTGTGTTTTAAAATAGGATCTAGAATCCCGACAAAGTTTTTAACAAATTTATTAAAATCTTCGTCAGGTTTCTATATCCTATTTTAAAACATATTGTCAACACTGAAAACACATGGATAGACAAAAAAAACATATAAATCTTTTACTTTTAACCCATTCTGATGCAGTTTCAGAAAAGGCTAAATGGTAAGGAGGGGAGGATTTACTTTTGATTCAATACAAAAAAAAAAAGCTGGGAAAATATATTAACAAATTTGGACATGAACTAAGAATTATAAAGAAAAGATACAGAATAAATATTAACGGCTTTTTTTTAAAAAAAAAGTCACTCATTTTCTTTAATCCCAAGAAATGCCACCTTAGGGAAAAAGAATTATAATTTCAATATTTAAGCAGACACACTAATACAAATATTTCTTACTTTCTTTTGTTTTTGGATCTGATGAAGCCTTGAGTTAGTGAAACGCGTAATCAAATCTATTTTCAATGAAACGTTTTCTGTTTGTCAAATTTCTCTTGTATATATATATATATATATATATATATGTGTGTGTGTGCGTGCGCGCGTGTGTGTGTGTGTGTGTGTGTGTGTGTAAGATGATGAGACAAAGTGGAAAATTATTTATCAAAGACGCGTTTCACCAAAGAAACTTCATGTGAGATTTTTTTATTTAAATCGCTAAAATCGTCGATTTTAGCCATTTTTAGCCTTTCTGTCAACGCAATTTAATTCACTTTATTAAAAAATCTTAAGTAAATAAAATATACTTTTCTCAATTTTTATTTGAGGAATATTAGCTGATTTAAAACTTAATTAATCTGATTTGAAACATATTACTTTTAGTGTAAAATATCGCAGAAATGTATATTTTAACATGGAGGTAGGTCTTTTTATTAGGTGTTGACAGTGCTATTGAGAGCTTGAAAGCTGAAAATTAAGGTATTTTTTCTACGGGGGACATATCTGTAAAATATTCTTGACGAATATAACATGAACGCCTTTTCATATAATTTTCAACTACCCAACTATCTTAAAAATTTACGAAAATATTCTAAGTAAGCTAATAGTTTATTGAACTTTAGATACTTTGGCTTTAAATTTACTATAGTTATTGCTTTTATCTTCTGATAATATCATATATGGACGTGTTAAATAATAGTCTAGCAGACTTATTTTTTTTAAAGACTTGTATTTTCCTCTGACTTCCTCATGTTGACCTTTGAGGTCAGATACAGGAAAACAAAGGAAGTCGTTTTTGATTGGTTAAAACTAGCGTGGGTATGTCAGTGAGATAGGTGATTTCAGGAAGTTAAGTTTTACACATCATACACAGTAGACGTGATTATATTGTGTCTCGGGAATATACCCCCCAATAGGTGTGATAGACCGACTCCACTGGCTAGTTCAAAATGTACACGTTGACGTGTTTAATAAAATAGATACGTTTAAAATCCGGGAGAAGACAAGCGAAAAAAGATACCGTATTATGGAATCGACCCCGTCAATCAAGAGACCCCCAGAACAAGCGGGTTGTACAATAAACGTTCATTTTTACACACACAACAAAAATTTAAAATTCTTTTTAAAATATTGGTGGTCGCTGAATTGTAGTAAGCTTTTCCATTTATGATTAGTAAATATAGTTTTTACTTAATAACAATATCATCTAACCTCTACAAATTAATATAGTATTTTAAATGAATTGAAGCTTTATAAACTATTCTAATTATTTTTGTAAATAAAAACAATTCTTGTAATAATTCATTATTCAGCAAAAATCGTTTTTCTCTTGAAACAATAGTGTTCATAATATATCTTATCCCTAAAAGTAATTAAAAACTTTTCTTATTAAATAACGTCTTTTCTTAAGTGTAAAACTTAACTTTTTCTTATGTTACGATTCAGAAATGATTTTCGGTAACTAGGATTCCCGTTTAAAAAAGAAATTAATAATTTCAATTCTCCAAGGAGTTATGCTTATAATTAATATAAACATTATTCTATACAAAAATTAATTTCTCGAAATTACATAAAACTATATAAATGGGAGTAACAGTTTGTTGTAACCTAGAAAAGGTTACTGAATGGGGAATAACCAAAACAGGGGTTGGAAATGAAATAGTAATCTTTATAACATCAACAAAATACAATACTCGCCAGCGTCATGAATAGGTAAACCACTGCTAGTGTTGGACTACTAGGACAGCATATTAACCCCCACCAACTCTTACATTAGTGTCCAACGTATTTATGAAGATTGGGACATACCCACTAGTGTTTATAGGTACGGTATATAACACAGATGTAAAATAAGATTTTGAATAAGATTTTCTAAAATAAGTCCTGAAAGTTTAATTAAAATCTGACAATTATTTCATTTTTGCAAGAATTTCCAAATCTCATCGCCAAAAGGCTGTAAAATTTCCCATACTAATTTATGGTCATCTGTTCACGCAAGTAAAAGAAGATTTTTAACCAAAATTTCGAAGGATCAAAAAATATGATTTAATAATCAAAAACTCATTTGGTCTTTCTATTAATAATAAAATAGCGATTTTAATGTTATAACATTGTTTTTATTAAGTTTGGGATATTTTTTATCATGTATGCTTATTTTTTTTAAGTGAATTTTTGGCTGTATTTATATATGAGGTGGTATCAAAAAGTTTCCGGACTAATTCTGTAGCGCGCCAATAGACTGTTTGCGCGCGCAATTTAGAACTAGCAGTGACCTTCATGCCCCAATGTGCCAAGTGACGTGTTAAATTTGTTTTGTGATCACGTGTATGCTGTAGCCTGCCATTTTGTCATGCAAAAGCATGATTATCTTTTTTTTTGTTTTTGTTTTGTTTTCTTTTTTTTTTTCAACATCTGCGGTGTTTTGCATCGAGAATTCGTTCCCTCGGGGCCAGAAGGTCAATCGACAGTTCTACTGCAAAGTTTTGAGGCGTTTGAAGGAGGATGTTCGACGAGAGCGACCGGATCTGTAAAGCGGGAATAATTGGATTCTTCACGACGACAATGCACCCTGTGACCAAGCTCTCCTCACTCGTGAATTTCTAGCCAATAACAACTTTGTATCGCTTCCGCATTCTCCCTATTCACCAGATTTGGCACCTGAGGACTTCCAACATTTCCCCTTAAACATAACTAGTCCGGGTACTTTTTTGATACCACCACGTCTACATATATATATATATATATATATATATATATATATATTAATGCATGTTTCATTAAATAATATAGACAAGTTTTGTCTATTTATTTTAAGTAAAGTCCTTTCATATTGTCGAATAAGCTTTTCATTTTCATTCTCACGTGGTCATGTGTGATGTCATGAACCTCGATGCGATATTTACTTCCTGCGTTTCATATGCACGATTTTATCGTTGCATAGCAATCTTCCATGCAACCAAAACAAACTAACATTGTTGCAATGTCTGCATAACCATTGTAAAACGAAAATTACCATCTTTGTTATATAATTTGTTATTTAATTTATTGTAATGTACTTGTAATCTCTGATGATGGCTTATGTAAGCCGAAAGCTTAAACAGGGTTAACATTAAATGTATCAACATAGTGATTTTCTTTCCTGTTTCAGTGATAATGCCAAAAAGCTTATTCGACAGTATGAAAGGAATTTACTTCAAATAAATAGACAAAACATGCGTCGATGCGTTGGTATATAATCTGGGTGGATCCTAGTAATATTAATTATTAAAACTGATACACAGAGCCCGATGTATAATGACAGAAAATATGTATTATTTAGAAGCTGATGTTAGCCGCGTACAGAACGGTTTGAAATAGACTATCCTCTTTGTTGAGGTAATTTTTTGTTATTTTTCCTGTAATATATATATATATATATATATATATATATATATATATATATATATATATATATATATATATATATATATATATATATATATATATATATATACATACATACATATATATATATATGTGTGTGTGTGTTTGTGTAAAAAAATTTTTTAGAAAAACTGTATAGACAAAAATGAGGATTGGAAAGAAAGACACCTAATATTTAATATAGTGATATTTTTTTTTATAATACAGGATGCGACTATATATATATATATATATATATATATATATATATATATATATATATATATATATTTTATTTGAATTTGTAGGTCTGATGATTTTGATCGTATTTACGATTCCAATGGAATAAATTATGACCATGGAATATTAGTGTTTAAGCTTTTTTATTATATATATATATATATATATATATATATATATATATATATATATATAGTATAATGAGAAGCCACGTATATACACGTATATATATATATATATATATACATACATACATACATGTGTGTGTGTGTGTGTGTGTGTGTGTGTGTGTGTGTGTGTGTGTGTGTGTGTGTGTTATATTATTATTATGTATTATTTTAATAACTATACTCGGGTGGTGTGAAAAAACGGGTAATACAATTTTTAAATAAAAATATATTTGAACAAACCGATATCAGGGGGAAAAAAATTCAGTAAAAAGGCTAAAAAAAATCCGTGTCGGTCGAAAATAATCAATCATCACCGCAATGCCTAAACAAAAGGAAAAAAAACACCGATAGGGTAAATTAAGTAAAGACGTAAAATTGCTCAATACACTAAACAGAGCAAAATCTAAAATAACTATGAGCCAGAAAGTACCTACCAATGATTTTTGTATGTTTGTCCTGGCGCCAAATAAGTCGACTGGGTTTACAGCCATATCACGTTGAAACACCGCTTCCCGTAAGATGGCCGAGGTTAAGCAACGTCGATCCTAGTCAATACCTAGATGGGTGACCGCTTGGGAATACCAGGTGCTATAAGATTGGATCTGCGATTGGCGTAATAGATAATAACTCAGAACTTGTAATCGGAGAGCCGAGTTCCTATTTCAGTTGGGTACGTTATATTCACTTACCCACCTCTTCTCCCCCAGCTATGGGCTAATCAGTAAGACTAGTGTCAATAAATAATCTCCTACCTGGCTTTAAATAACCCGAGCTGTAGAAAACAAATCAATCAATCATATTACAGGTAAGGGTAAATAGTGTCATGCCTTTCTCAAGGCATCATCCCGAAAGCGAACGCAACAAACAAGGACAGAATTTGAATTCTACTCATAGATTCTACTTTCCGCGCTATTAACCGCCACACTACCTACACCGACTCAGCTTGACGAAATAAACGTCATTGTATTACAGCCATTTTCTAAGTGAGTAGGACATGAGGTCTTCGTAATAATCATGAATCCCTCGACTACGTGTGTTTGTTGAGTCGTTACACAACTGAGCACCTGACCAGCTGCCTCCATATATCTCAGTTGCGTGCCAATGTTTGAGACTCTATGAATTATCTTCCATACCACTCAGTGACCGCCCCAATGTCTGCCTCCTCTCATTATGCCCAAGATGGTCGTTGAAAAAATTCTTGGCTCGTATACCGTGGGCATACCATTTGATGTCTTGAAAATCAATATTCAAATTCAACTTAGCATGGCTGATGCTAACCGCCAAAAAAGTGAATCATTGCGCCTTCTCGTGTTAACATTCTCAGCTGAAATAAACTGAAAAGACAATATTGAATCCATTGATAAGTCAGTTGTTAAGAAAGTTGGTTCACTGTGTTGTGCTAAACAATTTTTCTCTCCAGAAATTGTTTTACATATCTAAAAGTCTACCATTCACCTATGCTTAGAATATTGCTGCCATATATGCTCTGGAAACCCTGCTGTTTACCTTGAGCTCCTTGATAAGCTCTAAAGAAAAATCAGCAATATTATTGGTCCTCATCTGGCGGCTCGGTTTCAGTCACTTTCCCACTACCGTAAGGGCGACTCTCTGTCTTTTCTATAAATAACTAGCAGTAGAGCCCGGCGTTGCCCGGGGATGTAACAGTAAGAGATAGATCAAGTATCGACCATCATAAAGACTGAAAAATAAAATTGACAAAGATTATTGTTTACGGTTGACGGACACGCATGTCTTAATTAGTTTTTTTGTTTGTTTTTCTTTTTTTTAACGAATTGGTCAAACCCAAACTGAAACAAAAACATTGTTTTCAATCGTAATGAGTCTACCGATTGAATAGAATTTTATTATAAACAATTGTCTTGTAAATGGAATTTTTAAAGCATTCTGAATGTTAAAAATAAAGAAAAAGTGTGCAAGACAATAAGAAACACTACCTGCCAAAAAAAAAGTGAAGTTTTGTTGAAATCGGTTGAAAAATGTAGGAAATCCGATCCCATATATAAACGAACACACACACACACACACACACAAATAACCTGGGTTTAAGTAATAAGTATAACTCGATATGAGTTGTCCCCCTTTCATTCTCGCGATGCCTCTTAATCGTGTTTTCAAATTGATTTCGTGCAAAAACAATTGTGTTTTTCCAGTTTTGGGCGCTGTCGGAACCACCGCAAGGTAATTTTACATAGTGCTGTGAAGTTTTGTTGAAATCGGTTGAAAAATGTAGGAAATCCGATCCAATATATAAACGAACAGACACACACACACACAACCTGGGTTTATAATAAGTATGATTACATGGTAAATGTTCGAATGAGCTCTTCGTTAAGGTACCTAGACTTGTTGAATTTTGCTACCCATTCTGTCTTAGTGGCTTTACTGCTTTGAATGGGATGATACCGATTATATATATATATATGTGTGTGTGTGTGTGTGTGATAATTACAAATAATTTTTTTCCTCTTCTTTTTTTCTTTCTTGCCTTCCTCTCTTAATTTTATTTTTCAAATTTCTTTTTAAAAAAAAAGAAAAAAAAGCGTTAGAATCCATTTCATGAACAAATTTATTTGCATTGACAGGTCCCATTTTTGTAATTGACACACACACACACACACACACACACACACACACACACACACACATATATATATATATGATTATTCATTTTAAAAAAAATTTATAACATAAATATGTTATAAAATCTATACATATGTTATAAAATCTATATATTTATAACATAAATATATTATAAAAATCACTAGTATTTGTTGGTTATTGGAATTCATTCCATATACACCAATCATATACTTGTATATATATATATATATATATATATATATATATATATATATATATATATATATATATATATATATATATATATATATATATATATATATATATATTATAAATTAATTGTTTTAAAATATGGTTTGTTTGTTTTTTGCTACACAGTTCTAACCATGTTTCAAAATGGAAGCTAAAAACCCAGTAATTTTAAAAATGAGTTACATATGAAATTTTAAAAATGAGTTATATATTACTGGTCAGACGGGTGACCGCTTGGGTATACCAGATGTTTTAAGCTTGTATAGATAGATGCATAACAGCTCGAAATTGTTAAATGTGAGTCGAGTTCCAGCTGTGTTCGTCATATTCACTTACGCGCAAAACTTATGGATCCAGGTCTCCACACACACCTCCAGTTATAGTTTAATTAGTATAACTTATACTCATTATTATTTCAAAACTAAATTCTTACAATATAAAACTATTTTTCCAGCTTTAAAAAACCTGCAAAGGGTTGATACGCCGTAGAAAACGTATCAATCAATCAAAAATCACAGGAAACAATAAACAAACCTTATATTAATTTCTGCATCGATCATTTTCGGTCAAAGAGGATTAACGCAAAATTAAGTTCGTTGATGATTAGTAAAACATCTTTTCTTTATTAGAAATGTGTTTAATTAACTGTCAGGTAATAACCAACGCCTGTTATGAACAAACCAAAAGTAAAGTATTTATATTTGAGTGGTCGAGGAACGGGTTAGGTTTTCAAATGACAGATACAGATTGAACAACTGGACTGATATTTGAGTCATTAAATATTGAAATGATGTTCTGAAATTTTATTTTTGAAATTTTATGTTGAAATGATGTTCTGAAATATTTTATTGGAGTCGCCGAAAGTCACAACTGTAGAGCAGCCAATGATTTTTCAGCTCAGAAAATGAGACGAGCCTTCAACGACCGCACATCAAATAATTATTAGATGAAACTAGCTCGGAAGATATATACGAACAAAATAAGATAGATAGATAGATATAAACAAACTGTGGAATAGATTTGAACAGACTCAGATAGATAGATAGATAGATAGATAGATAGATAGATAGATATGAACAGAATCAGATAGATAGATAGATAGATAGATAGATAGATATGAACAAACTGAGAGAGATAGAAAGATTTGAACAAACTAAGATAGATAGATAAGAATAAACTGAGATAGATAGATAGATAGATAGATAGATAGATAGATAGATAGATAGATAGATATGAAGAAACTGAGATAGATTACATTAGTTATATTATTCGGACTGTTATCCTCATCTTCATTGCCATATTAACAACGTTTCGGCCGTTGTGCGCTCCGGCTTTCTTCAGATGATTGGAATTTCGAATCGTACCCTTTATTTCATCCACCGGAGTTCTAGTTTCACGTGGCATGCCTCTTCCTGGTGTCTTTCCCTTTAACTCTACACTCCAAGTTTTGGTTCACCACTGCTGTAGCCTGTACGCAAACAACACACTTTGGAATGGGATTCGACATATATCGACAGGATGAGGACTTAACAATGGGCTCGCCATTATCACCAACAATGGCAAATCTATATATTGAATACCTCTGAGGAAATGGCATTAGAATCTACATCAGTAAAGCCAACCCTATGGATGGGATACGTAGATGACACCTTCATACACACCAGGAAGAAGTCCAGGTGCTACTGGACCATGTGGACTCAATAATCTCATGGGTACAGTTCACAATAGAAAGAGAAAAAAAAACAACAAGCTCGCCTTCCAGGTTGTACTAATATCTCGAACAGAGCATGGGTTCAAGACACCTGTATACCACAAGCCAACGTTCACCTAACAATACCTCAACTTCAACTCCCACCATCCATACAGTGTAAAGAAAGGGATCCTTACAACATCGAGCAAAAGTCATAAGTGGAGATCTAGAGACATATGAATACGAAAGAGTTAATATAAGCAGTACCCTACAACGTAAAACTACCCCGGGTACATGACAGCAGCTCCGACAAAAAGGAGGGTACAAGAGGATAACAACATTCAAAACACAACTTCAGGCTGCCTACTCTATGTGAAGGGATTATCGGAGAAAATACAAAAGATCTGTAGTACATGTAACATCAGGACAACCTTCAAAAGTGGTTCAACTTTTCGCAGACACCTCTCCCGAGTAAAAGCCCCCATAGAGGAGAACATGACTAAGGACTGTGTGTACACCATCCCGTGCAGCTGTGGCAAGAGATACAAAGGAGAAACAAGCCGCCCCCTTAAGGTAAGACTACAAGTACATCGTAAAGCCGTAACACGAAAGAAAAATCAGGCGTAGCTGACCACATGTGGAGGAAAAGGGAGATCACCGCCCCATGTGAGATGAGGTTAAAATAATAAACAGAAAACATCCCTAGAAAATACGAAAACTTAAGGAATCAACACATATGCTAGGCCACAAAAATCTGATCCGTCCAAGCATAGAAATGAATACAATATCGGAACCAGTAATAAGGAGTACTAAAGAAAAACAATGAATAATAAAAAAAAAAAAAATTGCAATATAAGCTCTGATAAAAACTATGCAATAATAACAGAAAAATTGCAATATGAGCACTGGTAAAAAATGAGGTCATCTGTGCATGAATTTCTGGGACTTATAAACCTAATTTCTCAGCAATCATTTTTTACCAGTGCTCATATTGCAATTTTTCTGTTATTATTGCATAGTTTTTACCAGAGCTTATATTGCAATTTTT